TTTGGTGGTGGGTCAGGAAAACCTGTCATCGGGCTTTCAATGTTCAGTTTGTTTACTGAGTGCCGTCTATGGAAAATTTACCATCGGGTTTTGTAATAACTTGCCACAAAATATAATTGGAAGCCCGATAACACACTCAGTTCAGTAGGTAAACAAACTGGACATTGAAAGCCCGATGACAGGTTTTCTCTTGACGGCACTCATATGCGACCCTAAATACCATATAAACCACCCTCTTTTTAGTAGACCCCACGTGATTTTTTTTACTTTTTTTTACTAATTAAATAAGAGGGTGAAATGTAAGAGATCCCGGGTGGTTTATATGGCGAAATACGGTAATGTTTGATTTTATTAGTTTGATGAACACCCTAACAGTTTCTATACAATTTACTGGTCATACCTCTAGTATTTAGTTTTCTATAGGCTATTCTGGCATGAAAAATTCTAGATGGGGTGAGTCAATAGAAATCAAGCAAATTGTTTATAATAAAAATTTTTTATGACTTTAAACAAGAATAACAAAAATTTTTTCAAATTTAATAAATAATTTTTACAAATTTGTAGAATTAATTTAAAAAAAATTTTACTAAACTTAATTAAGTTTTTGTTAAGTTATCCTTGTTTAAAGTTTTAAAAAAACTTATTAAAAAATATTTGCTTGGTTTCTATTGACAACCCCAGATTTTGAATATATTTCCACGCGTGTAATCTAAGCATATGGAAGTTCGTTTTGATTGGCTATTTATTTATATTAAAAAGTATTGTTACACGAGTTTTTATATTATATAGTTTATATAGTTAAATTTTTATAATCAAAAGCTGCCTAAGATTTTGGATGCTTAACTTTCATATAAACGTTGGAGATCGAGATCAAGTGTTCCACCAACTTTTATTAGAAGCCATTTTGACAATATTAATACATAGTACAATATTATAAATATGAGTTTTTTTAGTTTTTAAAACGAAGTAACTAATAAAAGTCAAATTTCTTTTTGAATAAACGTTTCAAATTTCACGTGAGCAAGATAAGATGATTAAAAAATTAATCGTTACTATAAAAGTATTAGATTTACGAGGATTAGAAATAACGTGTGTTAATTTTTAATTTTGGCCAATCCGAATTTGTGTAGATCACCCAATAAATACAAACTTCCATTATACGTATGCTTGTACTCTACCCTTAATAAGAATACACGATTTTTATTATAAAATTATATACCATAATAAATTTTTTAATGAAAATTGATCGACTAAATTTTAATCGTAGTGGCCAATCATATGATAATATCAAACACCCCAACATATGAAAAAGAAAGATGAATGCACAATTTTTTCGGTGAATAGTTTCGGTGCCCAATTCTGGACACCATTGTTACACATCCGCAACGTGAGTAGTATAAATAATTCATATGAATGTATGTACAATATAACCTCTTTTTGGATCAATACGTATTAGTAATCCTACCTAGGTAGCCAATAAGATAACGTGTTGATGATCTAAAAATTTTTTTAAATTGTGCAATACAAACAGCAAATTTCGAGATAAGGAGAAATAAGTTTATCAATTTACCTCCAAAAAAAAATAGAAAAATAAAAAAAAAATAATAATAATAATAAAAATAAAGAAAATGAGTAAAAACTCTCAACAGCCTAACTCTTTAATCATCGGATGGAGATTACAAAATCACCATGTGCTTATCATTGGTGGTAACCAAATTGCTGCAAACCGTATCGAATTTGTTTTAGACGCTAAACCTCGAAAGATAACTCTTATAACACCACAATTAAAGATCTCCAATAAAGTTAAGGAATACATTGAGAAACGTATCATTATACATAAAGCTGGCGAATTTCATGTAGACTATCTGTCAAAAACTGATGACCCCATCGATCTTATTTTCTCCGCCGTTGATGACGTACAGTTATCAAATAAAATTGCGATTGCCGCCCGTGAACGAAAAATCCCTATTAATGTCGCTGAAATACCTCAATTATGTGATTTTTGGCTTATGCCGACTTATCGAGATGGTAATCTTCAAGTCGCAATATCGACTAACGGCACTGGTCCTCAAGTGGCGCGTAAACTTAGGGAACACATTATTGAAAATTTACCAAATAACACAGCAGATGCTATTAATAATGTAATCCTTCTTAGGCAAAATCTTGGTGCCGCAAACATGTCTGTTCTTACCAAGATAACTAGCTCGTTGTCTCTTGATGAACTTGCAAAACTTACACATAAAGATATTAAAGGATTGACCTCTGAATATGCTAATGTTGAAGTGGATAAATCTGAAGTGTCATCAACGTCCTCTACAATCATTGATGACTTACCTATCATTTTCAAATCAAAAATTGTTGATAACTACCCTTCGTTCCCTGAGGGCGGTGTGAAATTTGTGGATAATAAAACAGCTGTAGCGCACGTAGCCTACGCTTTAAGTGATACTATTTTTATTTATCCAACAGTATATTCTAATCACTCTGGTGAACCTACTTTACATTGGTCTACACGGAATATTGGAAATGCTTTTGGAAAAGCATGCAATGTTGTCAAAATGGATACGCGTTCTGGTGCTTCACTCGCAATTTTGGGTGCCGCGTCTTTTGCGTATTCCGGGAAGCTTGTGGCTTTTGCTTCATCACAATCTATTGTCTCGATGTTACCAAATTTATACGCTATTTCTCAAGAAAGAATACCGTTAACAATTCACGTATCCGCTCAAGGTTTCAACGATAATATGCATAATACTGCTAATTATCATGACGCGTTAATGGCACGTGACACTGGTTTTGGAATAATAAACTCTTATTCTGCACAAGAAATGCATGATATTGCGTTAATTACACATTTAATTTCTGCCTCGACAAAAACGCCATTCTTGCATATATTTGATGGTGTTAAGGTCGCTTGTGGAAATTCCGTGTTAAAGCTCCTTCCTTATGCTGAAATTCTTAAATTAAGCAAAGAACTATCAACCCCATCAAATAGTCCGTCATCAACAAAATCATTAATAATTGTGGATAAAATCGAAGGTATTATAAATAGAGTCGGAAAGCTCGTCGGGCGTCAATATCGGGCATTTGAATATGTTGGATCTCGTGATGCCAACATATTGTTAGTTTCCTGCGGTGGAGAAACTGACATCGTTAAAGCAGTAGTGAAACATCTTAGTGATAATGGTAAAAAGGTTGGAGTTATCATAGTCAGATTATATCGACCATGGTCCGAAAAACATTTTTTAGCAATGATTCCCAAGACAACAAAAAAAATTGCCGTATTAGAGCAAGTCGCCGTAAATTTTGATGGTTCACATGATATGGGTTTATCGTTGTTCAACGATGTTGTGGCTTCACTAATTGATTCATGGACTGGTCATATGCCTCAATTAATAGACGCAAAGTTTCCTATATCCAAACAATTCACACCCTCTACTGTTAATACACTTTTACAGCAATTAGAGTTAGGGGTGAACGTTGATTTTAACGGTGATCCTTTGTCAGATAATCTCCAAATTCAATCAACATTAAATAATGTAAAACGATGTGTATTTTGGAACGCCGTATCTAAGGGAACTTTATCATCTAACCAACATATTGCAAATGTATTAATTCGTCATTCGCATTTAAATGTTTCTAGTCTCTCCACCTTTGATGCATACAATAATGGCGGTGTCGTCACTACTAATTTCTTATTAGGGAATGAACTTACAGATGTATTACATGATCTTAAAATTGATGCTGAGTATATCTCAATCCATGATGACACATTAGTCAGCAAATATGATATTTTAGCTCCCGCTAAAGATGGTGCCATCGTTCTCCTCAATACCAGTTGGACCACAGATGATTTAGAAACTAAATTACCAAATGACTTCAGATATGAAGCTTTTAAGCGTAAGATTAAACTATATATAATAGACTCGAATAAAATAATTCAAGATCTAGGCTTGAATATCGATGAGCATATTAGTTTGATATTACAAATAGCATTTTTAAGATTGATTACTAAAGAGTCTAAGATTAAATGTGACTTGGAAGTTGCCCTTTCAGAACTTTATGAAGGCAACAATGAAAAAGAAGTTAGTCTTATTCTTCATTCAGCTGTTCAAGAAACCGATAAAGCGCTTACCTTTGTTGAACCTCCACCAGCATGGCAAATTTTGGAAAAATCAGATCGTATTTTACCTTCTGTTGTTGACAATAATTCTTTCGGAAGATCAATTGATCTTCAGTTAAATGTTAAACCTAAACTTGGGTCTTGCCATACAGCTGTTCACAATTTATTATTTAAAGAGGCTTTTGGTTTCAGTAATGTCGAGCGACCTGACGTAGCAGAAAAGACCTTTATTATTACTGTTTCCGAAAATCGTCGTCTTACACCTCCAACATATGATCGTTACCTATTTCATATTGAGTTCGATATAACTGGAACAGGTCTAAAGTATGATTTGGGTGAGGCTCTGGGTGTATATGGTCATAATGATCCCGAAGAAGTTGATGAATTCTTAGAATATTATGGGTTAAATCCTAATGATCTTATTTCAATACCTAACAAAGAGGGCGATAAATTTGAAACAAAAACAATACAACAGGTCTTTGTTCAGATTCTTGATATATTCGGTCGCCCTGCTAAGCGTTTTTATGAATCTTTGGCTTCTCATGCCACTGATGAGAATGAGAAAAAACGATTATTATGGATCGCTAGTAGTGAAGGATCTGTGGAATTTAAACGTCGTGTTGCAGACACCATCACTTACGCTGATTTATTATATGAATTTACATCTGCTCGTCCGCCTGTTGAAGACTTGGTTCAGATAATTGCACCTATTAAACCACGTCACTATTCAATTGCATCCGCACAAAGTGTGCATCCGAATAGCGTACATTTATTAGTAGTTACTGTCGATTGGGTAACATCTACTGGTAAAAAACGGTTCGGTCAATGTACACGCTATCTTTCTGGCTTAAAAGTTGGTACTCGTGTTGTAGTTTCAATAAAACCATCGGTAATGAAACTTCCACCACGAGATACTCAACCTGTTATCATGGCAGGTTTGGGTACCGGAATGGCACCATTCCGTGCATTTATTGAGGAACGTGCTTATAGGAAGTCACAAGGTAAAGAAGTGGGTCCAATGATTCTTTATTTTGGATCTCGTAATCGATCTATGGAATATTTGTACGGTGAAGAATTAGAAGCTTATCACACAGAAGGATTGCTCACGTATCTTCGACTAGCATTTTCTCGCGATCAACCACATAAAGTATACATTCAACATAAGATGCGAGATGATGCAGAATTATTACATCAATATTTGCTAAAAGATGAAGGTTGGTTTTATCTTTGCGGACCTACGTGGCCCGTACCAGATGTGAAAGATGCAATTGTTAATAGTTTTGTATCTGCGGGAGAATTATCAATAGGCGATGCTTCAGATGCAGTAAATAAGTTAAAGGATTTGGAACGATATATTTTAGAAGTATATTAAAGTATATTAACAAATTAATTGTATCATTAATTAACAAACTTTTCCATTAAATGTTACTTTTTTTATAATTTAACAATTATAATATTTTAGTTGCAGTTTTTAGATTTATCGATAATTTTTAGTTCGTTAACCAAAAGATTATTATGTTTGATTTTAGTATCATTTAATCGATAGAATTTTGTAATTAGATTAGTTACAAGCAATAAGCATGATAAATTTGAGTTAATTGATGTATTTTCTTCTAACTTAAAATTGGTTAAGTAGAAATATTTAATATATGCGAAAATGATAGGTGCACGCTTTAAGTACGAATGAAAAAGCTAAGGTTGTAATAAAATATGTAACATTTTACTTCTACTCCTCTTTTTTGGCGATTAAGACAACCTCTTCTATTTGTACACGATATGCTTCGGCAAAAAACCTGTAAATGAAGAATATACCATTTGAATGCATTTGCGCCTATTAAAATATAATATTTAGCTTTTAAACAGTACTTACAATTGTAAAGCAATAAATAGTGCCAAGCTGATCCCCATATGAATAAGTACGTAAACATTATAATCAGTCATTACTGTAAGTACACCTTCAATCATAAGCAGCATCAGAAAAACGAGGTTTATGGCCAATACAACATTTCTGTTAATTCCTGGAACAAACATGGATTCAACAACATCGGAAAAGATGGATGATGGTGCACTTGACGTGGGTTGAAGGAGAGTTTGAGCATTTGAAACATTATTATCTGTAAAATATAGTTATTATTAGTTAATTGAGGTATTTATGTGCTAATATCAGACTAATCCGTTACTAATCCGTTGGGAGTTTTTACCTTGTTTTTTGTTCAAGTTAACTTCAATTTTGATTCGCTTGGACGGTGAACTTTGTATGTCTGATGATATAAAGTTCTCCCCGTATTCTACGTTGTGTTTATCTTCAATAACATCCTTTTTTATATATGTGATTTCATCTTGCAATTTATTTGAATCAGAATCCTTATCCAAGGCATTTTTGATTTTTTTATATGGTGAACTTTGTACATCTGACATAAAATCATCTTTATCTTTCACGTCATGTCTTTCCTCTTCGATAACATTCTCTTTTAAGTATACGACTTTTCTTTGCAACAATTTATCCGAATCAAGATCTTTATCCAAGATATCCTTGATTCGCTTTGACGGCAAGCTTTGTATATCTGACATAAAATTATCGCCTTCATCTCTTACATCGTGTTTTTTCTCTTCTTCAATAGCATCCTCTTTTTTTACGTATGTGATTTCGCCTTGCAATAATTTATCTGAATCAGTATCTTTGCCCAATGTACCGGAATGATCTTCAGAGTTTTTATTTTTAATTAATTCACCATTCCAAGTATCCAAAACTTGCTTCAACTCTGGTGCTACCTTAGAAATGGTTGCTAATATATTTTCTTCGCCTTGTGGTGTAGATGGAGTTGACGATTCAACATCTTCATCATTGTCAAGAGATACCTTTTCATCAATCTTTGCAGAATAATATGGACTGTCACCGCTTTCATCTTCAAGAGATACCTTTTCTTTGGTCTTTACGGAATCATGTGGACTATCAATATCTTCATCGAGAAATACCTTTGCCACATGTTTTATAGAATCATGTGGAATATTAATACCTTTATTAAAAGGCACCTTTTCCCCATTATTTATAGAATCGCGTGGAATATTATCATGTGGACTATAAACGTCCTCCTCGTCATCAAGCGATACACTTCCTTCAGTCTTAACGAAATCATGTGGAATATCAAGAAATACTTTTTCCTCATTCTTTATAGAATCATGTTGAATATTGTCATGTGAATTATAAATGTCCTCTTCGTCATCAAGAGATGAATTTTCCTCATTCTTTATAGATTCTTCGCTATCATGAGACTTCTTTTCCTCGGTCTTTATGAAATCATATTGTCTATCAAATAGAAGGTCCTCATCGTTATCATCAGAATGTGTTAAGTGGGTATCATTTTTTGGCGTGATAGTAATGTTACTAAAAGCCGTCTCTTTTGTAGTAACTCGATCAATAGTAATGTGATCTTTGCCATCACCCAAGATTTTTTCGGCTTCAACCGTATGAACCGAAATATCATCGCCAATAAAATCTTTTGTTCCTTTAGATACAGTGTTTTCTAAAGTCTGATCTGGTAAAATTTCATTTGTTATGTTGATTTCGCTGGAGACTATATGACTAATTTGATTATCCTGGACCGTAGTTTTAGAATTTACCAACTGCTCAGCATTATTTGTAATAATTTCAGGTTCAACAATCTTTTCTAAATTAATAGTCGTATTCGAAACTTTATTGTCACCAACTTCAAGTTCTTCTCGTGTTTCTTCATGAGTTAACGTAGAAAAATCCTGATTTTGAGCCATATTTATCGTTTTATACAAGAAAGAGAGGCCTGCTAAGCAAAGGTCGCGTATGAGTCGACCTAAATATATACAGATATATTAAGTTTTGATTGGTCTAGACCAAAGTCAGCATAAACCCATCATACGATTTGGTCAAGGTTGCGTCATTTAGTGACGTAAGCAACCTGACTTGGCAAGTGTGACAGGTTGATCAGCAAAATTAAGAAAAAATTCAAAATTTTGCCTATGAAACTGCTCTTGATCAATTAGCACACATTCCGGACTTGCCATCGGAAAATCTATGGACAGTTCTTAGGGACAGTATGGCAATAAAAATTCACGTGATACTACTAAATAGAGAGTGGAATCGGTGAACATCGAAATAAACTTCATTCATTGAGTTTTAAACTCAGTCAATCATAAGTTTTAATAGTGAAATCGCGTTTATCGTGACCTTGGGTCTACGATTTTTAAAAATTTTTAGGGCCTTTTTTGTCGTCTTTTTTTAAATAGTTAAGTTAGGATTTAGGGTTAGAATTATTAATATTGAGACCCCAAATTTCACGATGATCCGATTTCCATGACAATTTTATTAATAAATTTTTTCAAAGTGACTTCAAAAAACTCAATTGGACCCAAAATGCAAAAGATTACATGTTTTATCGACTGATGAGCAAAATCAAGTTGAAGAAACGTTACGTGCTATGTATGCAGAATTTAAGCGGCGCTATTTATCTAAACAAATTACTTCCTGTAACTAATCGAAATGAAAAGCAAACTTACCGTAAAGAGTCCATTAAATCTGTTTTTTCATCAAGCTCACAACTCAAAGATAATTATCTTGCTCTTCCTGAGCTTGATTTCGAGGGAGATCCCATGGTGTGGTGGTCTTTAAAAAAACGGCAGGTTCCGATTTTAAGTGAAATGGCCGAAAATTTCTTGCAATTCCTGCAACAAGCACACCATGTGAGTGCTTGTTTTCAGATGCAGGGAATGTTATGAGTGCGAAAACAACGTTATTAAAGCCAAAGTTATTTGGCAGAATGGTATTTTTCAGTGTTGGTAAATGACCGGATGTGACCTAAATGGCTAAACGACCAAGTCAAATCATATCGTCATTTTAGTCATTAAATTTATGTTACCTGATGTGACCTATATATATAGTTAGTAAAGATTCTGATTGGTTAATTATTTACAGTTGTATTTGTAAAAAATACATAATAAAGAAGTATTTTAGAAACTAAATCCCTAAATTCCTGTAGTATTTACAAAAAATGATCTATACCTAAATTTACAACAAATTAAAGATTAAATCGACAAATTTCGAGTATTATTTGTTATAAATTTTGAGTTTTTGAATATATTAAAAGTCTGCATTAGAGCCTCACCTTTGAAGATTAAAAAAAAAAAAAAGTCTGCATTAGATGTTAAATAGTTTTCTAATATGAAACCTTCTAGATGATTTTTGCATATTTTAAATATAAAATATTTAAATTATAATTTTTTCATATACCCGATGTCTAATAAATATTTGATTAAAAAATTGTTGATCAATAATATGCTATTATTTATTCATCAATTTCAATCTCTACAACAGATTATATATTTTAGCACTTTTATATGAATTAAAATAGAATGTTTTTTTTTTTTTTTTTTTTTTTAAACCTTCGCAATGTCGTGAACCAGTAAATTTTTATTAGGTATTTTAGTATTACAATCTTGGTTACCCTGTCCTGTAACACCACCCCAATCACACTAGCTCATAACCTCATGCTGCTGCAGTGAGACCACCCAGATTGACATCTGCTTACTACTTGTGCTCTAATTTTATAGATAAACCAGTAGGGTTCTCATACTTACCAGGTTACCTTAGGGGAGGTGTAGATTTACCCCTCTAATCTTTCTATGTCCTACACATTTTCAGATTAGGCTTCGAATACCTTCCGCAACGGCCGAAACCGACACTAGCAGTCAGGGCGAACCATTAAACCGCACAATTCCAATACCCGTGCCCTTACAAGGTTCATTCCAATCCCGATACCCGCATCAAACCAGTCCTTTCACCGATCCCTCCCTAACTACCAAACCAGTTAGCCTGGATAGGTCGTTGTACCTAGGTTTTAAGCGCCTTCTGGTTCTACTTCTCTTGGTTCCTAATTCCGTAGCATAGGACCTTTTCCTCCGGTGCGACTCCAGTGGCCAGGTTTGTGGACCCTTCTTGCCCCAAGGTTTTGCGTCCGGTTCTTTGGTCACCGGTTCCGGTTTTCCACAGTATCATTGAAATCTTCACTACCTCCTTGTTCAGGTCTTGCCAAGCAGGCTTCTGTGTGCCGTGAGCCCGAGCCCTGGTTTTTACATGGTTGTATAACCTATGTGTTATGCAGCCTCCCAGTACAAGCTGGTATAACCAAGGTTACAGGTGCTACCACCCCTCAGGATGTCACACAGTATACCATTACATATTCTGTAAAATCCGAATTTTGTCGCTAGTAGAATTCGAACTTTTGTCCTGCTGCTTGGAGGTGTGACAACTTGCCAACCTCACTAAGTTGCCACACCTTTAAAATAGAATGTTAAATAGTACAATTTGTTGATAAAAAAAAAATTAAACTATTATTGCAATTCTAAAAAGAATTTCTAACTTGTTTATTCCATCTAATAGAATTACATCTACTAAGAATTTCATTATTGTTTTTAACCTTCGTGCTATAATAAGATAGATTTGTCTATTGTATAAACTTCAAAATAAATAAGTAATAAAACCATTTCTAGCCTTATAAAGAAGAATTTGAATTTATATAAATTATTTGTTGCAAAATATGTATTAATTTTATAAATAATAAAATTACAATTGAATAAAAATAACAAACCTAATTATTGAAAAGGTTTAATAAGTTGGTAATTCTAAATTAGAAACAAACAATACTGCTAATAGCTATTTTGCTATTTAATCATTAGCAGGATGTATTAATTTTCTACCAAAACTAAAGTCATTATCTATTTTATTAGTTAAAAATATTTCTCGTCATATTTGTTTTCATATTCAATAGTTTGAATTTATTCTTCAATAAATATATTTTATTCTTGTACTTGTTCTTCAAAATTGAATTCATCAAGTTCACTTAAAGACAAATCATCTTCATTATCTATATTTTTGTTCATATTAATAGTATTATTAACTTGCAAATCACTTTTAGAAAAACTATCCAAATCTTCAAAATTACTTAAATTTTCATCTTCAATAATCAGTGTAATGATACATAGATGTTGAGTTTTAGTATCTAATTCTCTTGCTTTTTTTTTTTTTTTTTTTTTTTTTTTTTTTTTTTTTTTTTTTTTTTGGTGTTTTGCTTGCTCTTTTTTTTTTTTTTGTTCTTTTTTTTTTTGTTTTGTTTTTTATTTTTTTTTTTTTTTT